TGTCAACACATATGAGCATGAATAACGACAAGCACACATACTTATGCAAAAAAAAACTGTGTGCGACCTTTTTCGGTATTTTGTTGTATGTCATTGTGCGTGTGGGCCGTTTTTGGCTTTGTTGGTATTTTCGGTATATTTCGGTCGCTTTGTACGGCTTCTAGTAGTTTCAAAATGATGATTTTCCACTTTTCAAGGGATTATTTTGCTTGGCAGTTTCCATGTAAGCTTTGGGTTTCACTTTTCCGAACTAACAATAAAATTTAAAGTAAAAAAGCCTATCAACTTTCCAAAATGCTATTTTAAGTAATTTTTAACAAATGAGCCATTTACGGGCGATATTTTCATTTGAAAATTTTATTTGACAAATAAATTTCCCTTATGATATTTTTATCTTTTCACAATTGATTTGTGCACACATCCTTCTGCATTACTTGGGATTTAAATTTTGTCAATTTTTTTTTTAAATCTGTTCGTTAATATAATTAGATATATAATTTTATTGACGACTTATGTGGGTTCCCTGGAAAATTTCAGTAAGCGTTGGTATTTAATTTCATTTTAAAATTTTTCATTTTCAGTTATTTTTGTACTTTAGATAAAAATAGTCAGGACAGTCGTAATCCAATTACAAAGCTTAACTGCAAGCTTCAAAATATAAGGAAAATTAATATATATGTATTATATAAATGAAAAAAAAAAAACTTTTTCAGGTAAACTCTTTTTTGACTCCTTCCAACACTTTACAACCTCCCACCTATCGTTTGTATAAGATTGTTTACGTTTTTTGGGTCAAAGAGTCATCTTTTGAATTTATATATAGGTGTATATATAAAAACTCTTCTTCGACTCCTTCCAACACTTTATAACCTCCCACCTATCGTTTTCGTAAGATTGTTTACGTTTTTTGGGTCAAAAAGACATCTCTTGAATTTGTTTATATCCTACACTATACATATATATTGTTGTTAAACACAACAAATTTAGTAACCCATACCGAAGTCGTAAAAATGTCAATGTGAAGAAGTAGAAATGATTTATAAAAAATTTAAAAAATTTTTAACTAAATTTCTTACTGTAAAAACTTTAATATCAACTCAAACTAAATATTTTGCATAAAGTTAATTAAATATATGAATTAGAACAAATGCAAATAAACTTGTAGTTTCAATGAATAAGAATTTTAGAGCTATATTAAAGTTCGTCTTATGAAAACATAAAGTTTTGCTTTTTACATATTAAAAAAATTCAATTAAACTTCATAGGTTGAGAAATATATTTCTTGTTTTTATTATAGTTTATTAGAATTTATAAACTTATATTTACATATGTGAATACTGGTATTTTCTATTAGAACAAGTATTTAAGAAGATCAAAGATTAAAATTTGTATTGTTTTAAAATTTATTGTACATATTTATACATATATACAACACATTTCTTAAAATATTCCATGCAGGTAACACCGATGCTTTCATTATCGATGCAAATATATTTACGTTTTCATATTTAGAATTTGTTTTTTATTCACATAAAATATTTAACACAAAAAGAAGAGCTTATACTGCATGAAAACATTTTTAAAATTGTATTATGTATAAATGTTTTATAAAACAATAAAAATTTAATATATTAAAAAATAAACTTTATGCTATATAAGTTACTCAACATGAAATAATAATTTAAAATTCGAAATCTTTAACTGATAATAAGTACTGTGTTTTCGCTTACAAAAATTAGTAAACTTTGATATGTTAGAGGTACATGCAATAGATTTTCAACAGAATAACAACACATTTTTTGCTACTACCTTTAAAGTATGGACATTCTTAATATGTACATAGTTTTGTGTATCTATTTTTTCAATGAAAATTCTAAAAAATCTTTATATATACTGCAGTTTGTCATAGTCAATCAATTTTAACCATTTACCGTATTTATCTGCTTGGTTTAACAAAATGTGCCAATCTAAAACTTCATTCCATTAGGTCAAAAACTGTGATACAAATTTGCATATTAATACATACCTAGGTAGAAAAACAGACTAAAACAGAAATGGACACCAATAAATTTACTTATCTTGTCATATATGCAATAACAGTTTATTTGATCTATTTGATGTCCGGTTTTTTTTGTCCTGAAATATTATTCTGAAAATATGTTACAAATATACAGTTGAAATTTCTTATAGCGAATCTGGATGAGGCCAAAAAAAATACATAAAAAATTCATTTCACACATAAAGTCTAATTATTTAAATAAGAGTTTAAAAAAGATAAAATAAAGAGGCACTTGAAAACCATTCATAATAGGCATGGAGTCGTTTTGTAAACACTCGTTATTAAAAATTGAATTTTGTAAATAATGAAATAGTATAAGAATTGATTTTATAATACGCGTGTACCCCATTGATAATCAAAATCTTAATGTCAATAAAGTTAGAAGATGATATATTCCAAGCCTATAAAACGTTTTTTGCACAATCAGATATCTTGCGAGATATTTGAACACTAAAATTAATGAGGACATAACAAAAATGAAATTTAACAAAGATTGTGACAACTAATATAACTTTACTATACATAAGTACAATATTAAAGAATTAATTTCACTGATAATGCTGATTAGTTTCAAATGTTTCCTCAAATAAGTGCTACAGGGATTAAGCTACTTAAATCAGAAATTGGAAATGAAAAACAATAATAGCCACTGCGAGTCAAATTTATAAACCAAAATTTTAAAAATTTTCTGAATAAACTGGTGACATCAGCGATAGAAAAATTGTATGGAAAATTATTCGTCCTGTTTGCGAGAAAATGAGATTCAAGGGATGCTATAACTACGAACTCTATACAATCTACATGGGATCAGACATAATCACAAGAAACTCGGTAGACTTCGAAGGCTGGATCACGTAATTCATATGAGTTAAGAGGAGCCTGGTGAGGAAAAATGTATATGGCAGAATTTAAGTAAGGCACTCCATGCCCGCACAAGAAGGTTGGCTTAGATCTGAATGTTTGTAGCCTAGAGGTTCCTTTATTATAGACATCAGCTTGTAATCAGGATTAATAGAAAAATTTGTTGAAGAAGGTCCTAATCAAGCACTGATTATACAGCTCATGATGGTGTAATAGTTATAAGAATCTATTTGTGGATACTTTTAAAGCAGAACTAAAACTAACATTGAAGAATTCTAACATTTTCGTAAATTTTAACTACTGACTTAAGCAATCCTTATGTTTTTAAATTATATACATAATTATTATTATTAACTGAATGTGTTATCTTAAAGGAAATATACTACTGGCTCGAATATTTTTCAATATTTAATGTTGCAGTGATCAAAATATTTCTTGATTTACTTAATTAAATTTTTTACTAAAGTTAAACTTACAATAATGGTATTTATTAAAAATAGTGGGCCGTTTTATTTAACATTTAAAATATTTTATAAAAATTAATTAGCTTTTAACCTTTAAAGAAAATATCAACGCCAACTATTTGTACCCACAAATATATTCATACTATTGAAAGTCCATTACACCTACAAGTAAATTATTTTTATACCACCTTTTATAAACTTTAAACTTTAAGTTAAAAAACATCACATTTCAGTAACAAAGGAAAATATTTCCCATTAATATAATGAGATAGAAGCCTGAAGGGATCGATCAGCATTTAATAACAAAAAATTTTTTTACATCTACTTATTCTAAGGTTCATAATATTTAATGGCATTCTGTTACATTAAAAATAAGCTTTTATAAACTTTAACAGAGTCAAGTGATA